ACGTAAGCGTCGAATAGATGCGCCAGAAAGTGTTTCGCCATGAAGCAAATGTCCAAAATTGACAGCTCATTTTTTACATATTTATGACAAACTGTCGGAATTGTTGTTGCCGTCATTTGTGTCAAATGCGTATCTATCGACACAATTCGTTGACCCACATGTCGCTGGGTCGCCGACTATTCGGCGAGCGGCGCCAGAGGGCCATTAGGCAGTCATTAAAGCAAGCCAAGATCTAGGAGATTGAGCCCGGGGCGATGTCAGCTCGAATTGCCGTAAATCGTCAGGCATTTCACTCAAAGCGCAAAGCTCGAAGCGCGTTTACTGTTCTTCTTGATTGACATGCTAAGAAGTGGCTATGAGATTGTGTCTGCATTTGTATCTAAATCTGTAAATGTATCTGCATCCGTGCGTGCGTGTATGTATGTTATATGTGTATGTGTGTTGCCTCAACCTCATTTACAGTTATGTGGCGGCTTTGTCTAGTGGCTAGCCTTTCTCAATAGGCTCTCATTGTAGTGTCCGCAGCGGCTTTTCTTCCGCTTTTAACGGTTCATAATTGAAATTATAATTCAATTTATGCTGGTTGCCTGCCTGCTTGCCTGCTTTGTTTGCAACACTTTGCTACACTTTTTCAATTATATTCAATGCACATTAGACACATTATCTGGTTGGCTCGAAAGTGTTGCCAAGAGTGAAAGATGCAACACTGATTCAGCTGCAGATACATTTGTAGCTGCATCTGTATCTGCAGCTGTATCTGTAGTTCACTGGCGTGTTTCGCTCAGCGCCTGCGCAAATAAATTCGATTTGATTGTGAGCTTTTTCCTTGGTTTTGATTTTGTTTGTTGTTTAATATTCAATTTTATGCGCATACACTGACAGCAGCGTTAGCATTGTAAATAAATGAAAGAAACAAAAAAAACGCAACTGAAATTGTTTTACAGTGGCGTCTCTTGCAATTAAGAACGCTTTCATTTTTCACTTTTCTTCTTGTGCCCCGTGCATTTTCTCATTCAAGCCGAAAAACGAAAAACTTTTACTGAATATAATTGAATTAAAATCAGCACACATAAAGATTTGTGCACGCAGATCTTAAAAGCGCCTCAACTGTAGCTATACAATACGTATATATAGCTTGCTATTAAAAACTAAATCTTTTTAAGGTGAAGTTTTCCATGCCCAAAATTTGTATTGTTAGTTTTGAATTAAATGTATGTATCCGAACTGCGCGGAACAATTTTTCAACTAATTTAAAAGACAGGCATCAAATGTGTTTTCTGCCTCAAAATCTTCAAGTGTGTGAGCTGTTTTCAAAAATAGAATTCAAAATGCCGGTATTTTGGGTTACATTTTGTTGTGCGGTGCGTGTGAGTCTAAAGTATTTTAAATATTTTTATGTGGCGACTTTGGGGCGCAGATTTTCAAATCAATGCAATTGAGAATTTTTCCATCAGTCGCATAAATTCCAAGCCGTTGCCGAAGCTGATAAGCCTCAAGACGCAATCGCAGCCATAACAATAATGAGGGTCAGCCTGGAGCTGCTCACAAGAGTTTTCCCTCAATTATTTACAATTTCATATTGATTTGTAGGCAGCGCCCCATTTCTTTTGTGTGCGGCATTGGAGGGGATGTGCAACGGCAGGAGGAGGAGGTGGGGAGGAGGAGGGAGGGTGCACTTTGATTATCAGTCGACGCATAATTAAGCGCAAGCCCCCGCTTTGACCTCGACTCAAAGCTGAGGGTTGAGCTGATGTAACAGAAGCGAACATCGGATATGCCAAGCGGGTGTTGCCCGCGCTGCACGCGTTTTGCATGCGTTTATAGTCGCTTGCGCAAGAGTCGCACGCAAGGTGTGGTTTGTAGAAAGTGTCACACATTTTTGGCATAAATAAGCTAATTTTATGTGGGCAGCGAAATATTTTACTTCAAATTGTTTACTGATATTAATGAAAAACAACAACATTTGCTCATTTCTCGTTTTATCTGTCAATGGGTTGGGGTGGGGTGAGGTGGGGTGGAGGGGCAGGTGCAGAGCTTAAATTATTTTGATTAATTTGTAGTCGTCTTTTGTTGTATTTCCCCTTTTCGTTGTTGGCAATTAATTGTTATGCGTTTTTAATGCCACTTCGATACAATAAAACCAAAAAGGTGTATCTTATATAAACCCTTTATATATACAGGTAAATCACATGTTTGCACTTTGCACTTAAAACTTTTGCTGCGTTTTGAAATTTTAGCGTTTTGTTTGAATCTTATTTCAACGTTACTTTTGTTTCTGCTGTGCAAAAAAAAAATTGTATATATATTTTATATACATATATGTGTACATAAAAAAAAAAAAACAAAACTTTCTCCAGCGCTTGTCGTGCAAACTTGACGCACAGAAAGAAACAAGAAAAACAAATAAAGAAAAAACCATTTTTGTATGGTAAAAAAAAAGAAAAGAAATGTACAACAAGCAGATGATTTACAGCATAAATAATGAAATGGTCATTGTGGGCTTTGAGTTATTTGCCAAAGAGTCAGCGAGACACGACCACAAAAAGAGAAGAAACAACAACAACAACAACAGCAACAACAAGTGTGAGACAGGAAATTGAACTCTGCTAGAAAATAACACCAAATATTTGCGCTATCCAGGGCAGCGTCTGGTTCGATTCACGGATATATTAACTGCAACTATCTGGTACTGATTAGCTCGACCCCCTGCTAACATATCTTATCTGACTGAAGTCGATCACGTTTTTGCTCTATCAAATTTCTCAAAAAAAAAAAAGATGCACAGTTTAACATGTTCGTTCGAATAGATAAAATAAAAAAGCGCGACTTTAAACGCTGCGTAGGAAAACACAAAAAATATTTTACAAAGTCAATTCATGACAGACAGAAATTGCATTTGAGCCTTGAATTATGTAAACAAAAAAACAACACAATGTAAATATTTAATAAACAATGAAGAAAAAAAGACAAAAGTGCGTGAGTTGAAAATGTTTGGTTGCAAAAAAAAAAAGTAAAAAGCTGCGCCGTTTTAATGTGCATAATTATTTTGAGCTGAGCTCATTTCAAATTTGACTGCGTAACTTTTGGGCCTGCCCCACTCCTCCCCCTCCCCCTTTACTATTGCCCACCCCCCTTTTCCTTCAGCACAACAAAGTAATCAACGTTAGTCAAATTTGATTTGAAAAAGTTCGTGTCAAAATGCAGTTTTTCGTTTTTTTTTTTATAAGTTTAAAATTATTTGAAAACAAATGATTTTCAACTGAAAATATAAGCTTTATGCATATATCTATAGATATATGTGTGTGTATCGTAAAAGAAATTTAAATGCAAATTTGTAAATATTTGTTTTTGTTTTTGGCAGCGAACACGTTTTGTGAAAGCGTCTGCTACTTAAATACATGTTGTATTTGTTGTTCACTCGCCACCAAATAGTTAATAGTAGTATATGGCTTATTGTTGTTGTTGTGATTGCGCGCCGGACTATCCATCAATGTTGAGCAGCCCGATGATTGGCTGGTCGCATCGAGATCTTTCGCACTAGAAAAACACGTTTCAGTAGCAAATTTTTCATTGCCCGCTTTTGACATTTTCCACGGCTTGACAATTTTCGGAAAACACACACATACATTTGAGCCAAGGGGCCACCGGCTTTCAATGGAATTTTCCTCATCGAGTTAATGTTGTTGCTCCCGAAGCTATTGTCGTTGCAACGTTTCATTCATTCATAAGTAATTGCAATAGTTACGTGGGTTTTGCCTGGCTTGGGTCAATTGTGCCTATCGCTGGCATAGCTGCCACATGCCGAGCACATGAGCGCCGGTGGCAAAGGTCAAACATCTTAAGACACAAAAGCAGTGAAAAGATATTGAAAGCACTTTTAAGACAAATATTTTTTTGGATGGAATTCGTGGCCGATAAAGAACTTTCAATTAACATTTTATGTTAATTATAAACATTTTGTTTTTTGGCAATAATTTAACGGAGATAAATTTTTTTGTTTTGGCAAAAGTGAAAGTAATAATTAAGAAAATTAGAAGACAACAAAATAGCCTCATCACAGTTTTAAACGCATTATGCGTTCATATATTTATACTCAACTTTTTGTTTAACATCATTTAATTGTTGAGAAAATTCAATTTCAAGTAGTTTTATGTGCTTTTTTAAGGGTTTGTAATATCCATTCAATTATTTATAAGAACTTCTGCTGAAATTGAAGTTTTCTATTTGACGGAACGAACTCTATGAAACGTAATTGCTGATTCCATGTAATAAATTATGTTGGATTTGATTCATTTATATTGGGGCTATCGTTAACATTGAAATACTTTCTAATACCCTCTAATCTATCAGCTACTTCTTAACGTAAGCCCGAATTACAGCAAAATGCTTTTATACCCGTTCTCATGGGAATTTTATATTTGCAATTGTTTATCTGTGTTTGTTTATTTATGTGCACAATTAGTGAAAAGCAACTAAAGTGCGGATTTGTTAACTTGAATTATTTGTTATTTTTATCTTTGCGAATAATATCGAATGACAAGTACAGAGGGTATTTTAACTATGTTATAAAAAAAGAGTATATATATATTCTTGATCTGTATCAACAGCCAAGCCGATATACGACTGTTTGTTTATATGCAAACTTCGAAGAAATATTCATAAAACTATGTAGAGGCTAGTCTTAACGTTGATCCATTGAAAATTAAGTTAAGTTATGGAACTAATGCAATAATATAGCTAATTAACGAGCTCTAAATTCAAATGTTTCATAAAGATCAGGCTGATTTTATGAAAACCGATCTATCATATCCTGAGTTTTTGCATGTTTTTCAAAATGTGTTCATATATAACATATATCTACATGAAAGGGTATTCAATCTTCGACGTGCCGTTGGCTTGCCCATTTCCGTTGACATATTTAAACAGTATTTTGAAGTTGAAATAAATAACGTAAGTGTAGGTTGTATATTTTAATATAAAAAAAAAAACGTTCAACTTACCGGCTGGGTGTTTATGCAAACTGGCAGAAATTTTTTTTTTTTGCAAAAAATGCACAAAAAAATCCAAAGTTTTACAGCGTCAGCTTTGGCAACGCAAAAATGCGCCAGGCAGGTATTAATTATCCAAGAAATTCTAGACGTGCAGTGTATGAATGTAGCGTAGTGTATGTGTGTGGACGAGTATGCTCGCTTTGTTGTTTTGTTGTTTTGAAATGAAATGTGAAACCGGCAGCCCGAGCACGTTATGGGTGCTAAGAATATTGTTGCCAGCAGACTTTGATTATTGTGAGCTTGCAGTCAGAACCTATAAAAGACTGCATGAACTTTGTGCCAAAGTTGGCCAACAACAGTTGGGCCCAATTGTATTAAACACGTTAGCTGGCTAACTCGTTTCGAAGCTGGCGAAATGAATCCAAAGGCTCTGCTCGATAGTTTGCAATTTGTTGTTGCTGTCGCTGACGTGAATTGTTGTTGTATTTAACACACGGCGCGTTGCAGTTTATTGTTGTTGGTGTTGTTGTTGTTGTTGTTGTTGTTGCTGCGGTTTTGGCTGACTGAAAGACGACGTCGGCGGCGACGGCGGCGGTGGCGTCGACGGCGGGGGCTGCCAGGGGAGTTCCGGTATCCGTATCGGTATCGTTTACAATGCGTTTAAAGTCATCTTTTTCTTGGTAAAAACTTTAGTATTATTGTTGCTGCTGTGGCCGGTTTTCGTTTACTTAGAATTCGTTGTGGACTTTAAGTTTGAATAAATGAAAAAAAAAAACAGCGAAGTAAACAAATTCATATCAGGTATCACTTGCACATTCTTCTTCTTGAAAGCTTATATTATTTGCTTGTTAATTTGATTCGTTGTTGTTGTTGTAATTGTTGTTGCTGTCGATTTTTCTCGATTTTGTGTGTTTGTTTTTTATCTCGTTTAGAAAGTGGGTTAATTAAACGGCGCGTCTTGGCTACGCTTTATGCAAATTATATCTCGTATGCACAGGTATCGCGCATGTTTGAACTTGTTAGATACGTGATTTATTTCGATTTGTTTTTGCAAATATCAACTTCATTCAACTTTGTAATCTTGCGTTGCTTTATCTCTCTCTCTCTCTCTTTCTCTCACTTTGTTCGCTCCTTTCAGTTCGCAACTTCGTTTTATACAACTTGATATTCCGCTTGAGACGTTTGCACTTCTTCGCGTTTCACTCGCAACTGAATGGAAGCCAAACGATCAACCAAAGTGCGACCCGAGATACCGAGAGACGATCAAGCTGCAGAAGTGGCTTCGTGTTTTTACGCGCACAGGTACGAATCATTCGAAGTCGGCTTTCAACAACGAAACAGCAGCCGAAAGAGCAAGTCAAAGTAAGCTTGCAGCTCTTTTAACGGTTTTCTTTTGTTACACACGCTCTCTGGAGCGTATATCAAAGTTGCCAAGTCTGCCAACAACCTAAGAGAGCAAGAAGCGAAGAGCAAAAGCGAAAAGCGATCGTTGGGGGCTGCATTCAATTTAAACTGGTGTGACCATAATATCATAGTGAATAAATACTAGATAGGGTGTGCAACAAAACAAACGAAAGTGTTTGTTAACCGAAAAATACTAACTGAGCTAAGCCAAGAAATTAGTTCATTATTTATAAATAAAAATAGAAAAGTAACATTTGTAAAGAATATATCTTGCAGAAGTTTATTATAGTAAAAAAAGACTTACTACCTTTATTTTATTTGATCTTTATACTGTAAAATATATTTTGTGCATTGTTGTCTATATTGTTGTTTTGTATTATTATATATTTATAGTGTCAAATACACATATTAAATATTCTTTGTTTAATTTAATAAGATACGGGTTTCTTGATAATATAGGAACCATTTATCGATTTAAATAATATATTTTCGTGTCTTTACAGGCTCACACAGATACTAGCATAATGTTAGACTGCTTGAATATATCTAATATTTTACTTTGTGAACTCAATATTTATTAATTTTTCATTCTCCGCGTTCTTAAAATGTGAATTTGTATTTAAAAAGACAGAATCAAACCGAAATGCAAAATCAAAAATTTTTTATGTTCTTAACACCCATATTATTAATTCAAAAAGTATCAGTTAGTTTGCTATCAGCTGTTTCCCATCGATAACTGGCTTACAGTGTTGGGTAAACTTGGCAATAAACGCATAGTTCAATTTGCATCTTTCATGTGTTATCGATAAATAATGAACAATGGTACGAAATTAACTAGTTCATCATTAGTTTCCGTACAAACTCAAGTTTTTGAACCAATGTTTTATATGCTGACGCGCAAATAAATTTAGTGGAATATGAATTATTATACTTTTCTTTTAATAAAACGAAATCGAATTGTTTAAGCAGCAACCTAAACAAAGTACGTATATGGAAGTAAAGATGGCGTATTTCAAAATTTATAATTTCTTTGCTCGGCTGTTTATTTTCTCTCTCGATCTGTACAAAAAACACAATTTATTGCAGTGGCAAAATGACTGACATAAAGGAAATCGTTGTTGTTCTGAAATGGAGTGGCAAGGAGTACCCATTGTCTGACCTGACGGATCAGGACACTGTCGAGGTGCTGCGCCACGAAATCTTTCTCAAAACACAGGTGCGACCGGAGCGTCAGAAACTATTGAATCTGAAACACAAAGGTAAACAGCAACGCCCCAAGAGAATCCCAAAATTAATCTGCGGATTTGTAGGCAAACCGGCCGCCGACAACGTTAAACTATGTGCACTGGAGTTGAAACCGAATTTTAAGCTCATGATGGTTGGCTCCACAGAGGCGGACATTGAAGATGCATGCAGTCTGCCCGAGGACATCGGCGAGGTGATTGACGACTTCGATGATGCCGAGGAACGGGAGGATTCCGTGGAGAATTCCGCAGTGTATTTGGCCAAAGTGCAGCGTCGAGTGCGTGATTATAAAATCGCAGAGATATCGCCACCACGTGAGGGCAAACACCTGCTTGTCCTAGATATAGACTACACATTATTTGACCATCGGTCACCCGCTGAGCAGGGCACGGAACTGATGCGGCCCTTTTTACACGAGTTTCTGACCTCCGCATATGAGAACTATGACATTGTCATTTGGTCCGCCACCAGTATGCGCTGGATTGAGGAGAAAATGCGCTTGCTAGGCGTCGATACCAACGACAACTATAAAATAATGTTTTACCTCGACTCGAATGCCATGATCTCAGTGCACGTGCCGGAGCGCGGCGTGGTGGATGTGAAGCCATTGGGCGTTATCTGGGGCCTGTATAAGCAGTACAGCTCCAGGAACACCATCATGTTCGATGATATAAGACGCAACTTTATGATGAATCCGAAGTCGGGACTCAAGATACGTCCCTTTCGGCAGGCCCACTTGAACCGCGCGAAGGACAAGGAGCTGTTGAAACTATCCTCGTATCTGCGCCAGATTGCCTTGTATTGTAAAGATTTTAATTTACTGAATCATCGTAAGTGGGAGCACTATGATCCCAAGAAAAATTCTTAAAGCTGTTTTCAGCCTGATTATATGTACTATAAGATTCGCTTAATTTTATTCAATTAAAATTATTTTAAACTCAATTAAGACAACTAGAGCGTGTATCCGCCTTGATCTGCCCAGTGTACGCGTCTAGCCTCCAGGTATTCCTCGTGCAAGCGTCGACGTTCCTCCTCCAGCTTCGCCAGGCGGCGGTAACGCTGCAGCATCATGCCGCAGCCGAAAAGCAGTGCCACCTGACATATCAGCCAGAGTATGAAGAGCGCAATCAGCAGACTCTGATTGATGCATATGTTATCCAGATGCAACTGATCATCAATGCCAGCTATGAGCAGGACCCCGCGCTCTCCATACAAGTAGCTATTGCTATTTGTTTGATCCGGTCCGTGTACCCGAAGATTATAGTTGAGAGGAAGCTCTACTTGCGCGCTTATATTGGCCGTTGAGGCAGTTGTATTGTTCAATTCAGCCGGAAGCACATCCATAACAGTTGATATATATACTGGATTCTGTATCCTGAGCTGTTCCAGCTGGCGCTCTGCTTGCTCCGCTTGCCGCTTGTGTCGCTGCCAGAGGCCGCCGGACAGATGGACACAATTTGTGGGCGCACAACGTTCCACACAAAAGCGTATTTTCACATCAAAGTTAACATTGGCCGTGCCTGAGAATTTGAAAGCATGGAAGCGTGCGCGGAGCATGCTGCGGGAAGTCGTGCGTACACGCTCCAGCGCTGGAAATACGCTAGCATCGGTGGGACAGCCCTGCTCGTCTATGAGCAGCACATAGTTCTGATTATCCTGTGACTTGGCCACCAGCGAGGTGGCGCGAAAGTCCGGCAAGGGTGCCAACTGCAGTTCGAGATGCTCGCCCAGCTGCTCCTTACTGTACTCGGCCACAATTTGCAGCTCCAAATTCTGGCCAATCTGCACGTCACTCGTCTCATGCTGCTGCGAGAGGTCGACTATTTGAAGTGTGATCTGCGGGTGCGGATGGGGCCCCGTGCTGCTGTTGTAGTGCACCACGCCCTCCTGCGGAAACATGCTGCGAGAGTTGGATTGTTTAAAGGGTGTCAACGAATGGGTATTCGCTATAAGCACTTACTGTTCTGCATACTCCAGAGAGGACTCCAACGCAATAGCACTGGGCACATGCTCCGTGGCATCCGCATTGCTATCCCGCACATCTGAGCCAAGCGCGGTCGTCGCGTTGTTCAGGATGCAGCCGACCTTGATGAGACGATCGCCTTGGGTTTGCACATTCGCATTGTTTTGTATGACCACCAGGGCGGATATGAAGGTTCTGCGAGGGGTTCCCTTTAGTTCACATTTTAACTATATGTTTCGACTGTTCGCCTACCTGTGATAGGAATGTGTCATTTCGTAGGCGCGCAGAACTCCGCATCGGTTCTCCTTCGCCTCGCTGCCAATCTCCAGGCGCAGCACCAAACTCTCGTTGCCAGTTCCGCTCACCTGGCACTCCTTCGAATGCATGCTGGCGTACATTTTGCCTGTAAACGAGTCCTTCGGCTTGTACCGGACGGTCATCTCATCGCGGGTGCAGAAGACCTGCACTGTGTTGTGGGAAAGACAGTAGAAAGATATAGATAAATATTTAAGCACCAGCAGATATTATGTAGTCTTAACGACATTTTTGGCTCATGGAAGAAGACACTTCAGCTCAAAGTAAATTATTGCTTTAACAAGATGACAAGCTCAATTAGCAAGAGTCGAGTATGCCAGACTAGGAGACACCCTCAACCCAACGCCAAGCTTTCGCTCTATACACACCTCCTATGAGAAAAGCATTCTTGAATATCTCTATTAAGAAACCTTTACTTTAAAAAATGCGATTAGTTTACAATTTTGTATAGTCTTGGGAACGTATCTAAACACTGAAATATTCTTAAGCTGGGTTTACTATACGAGAACCTACAAACCATATGGTATATGTTTTGAGTTATGCTAAAAACATCAAATTTTAAAATTTATATATATCGATGGATAAATTATCGAAGATATATCTACTTATTATCGAAGATATAGGAAAAATTATATACGCTGAGTTTGTTACATGAGTGTAGTCTATATCATCTCTATCCAAAAGCCGTCCTAATAATATTTAAGTTCGAGAAGAAAAACTTTGTTTTTTCCTGATCTTAACATATATATCGGACAGCTTAAATAGGAACCATCGCTCAGAACTGAAGTGCTTGTATGAAACAAATTTTCTTAAAGATATCTTGATTAAATCTGCCATATCATATAGATCTATCGTAACATCAGTTTTTATATGAAATATTCTTTGTTTTTCCAGATATTTCTAACCAAACTTTTGCTCCCAACACACGAACAAAATCCAATCAACATCAGGATACTGCAGAGAAAATTTTATCGGTGATAAAGTTTTTAATTCAATATCCCCTAATAAGCCATATCTTCTGCGTGAATATAGGCTTCTTTTGCCTGGCTTTTCAAGATTTCTTAAGTTTCAACATATGTCTCCAACGATTTTTAATATTCGACAAACCCTATGGGGGCCCATTCTCTTGTGCATTAGTATTAACTCACCATCTAGACATTTGACGCGTCGCATGTAAACGGAATTGTCGCGGAGCTTGAGGCTGCGCGGGCCGAGCGAGACGATGTCCTCGGAGTGCAGCAGGCACTCGGAGCGTGTCAGCTGATTGAGATAATAGAAGGAGATGCCCTGGCAGTGGAACTTGGACTCGTGTGTGCAAAGCGCCTGGCACTGTAATACAAAAAGGTCATCAATCAATTGGTAAATCGATTGGAATCATAATGCGCGACTGCTCAAGCGCTACAACGGGGCGCACCTCTTTCTGGGTTAGGCCCAAATATTTGGCTTCCGCGTAGATGAAGCTGCTGTTGGCGTACAATTCGTACGAGCAATTGTCGCTTTGAATGGGTCGCTCGTGGCACTGGTTCTCCATGTACTCCTCTGCGTAGGGCGCCGCCCGAAAGGCTTCCGGTTGTATGGATTTGTCCTTGTCGCTCAGCGTGCAGCGGCCAAAAGTGACATGGGCCTGCGGCGAGTGTTCCTCATTGCGAAACCTGCGGGCGAGCGGGTGGAGAGAAGATGTGTTGAGAAGGTTGCCAGCTGATGGTTCTGGACGAGTTACAAATGTATCTCGCAATGATTTATGACTTCACTCAGAGTGATATCATAATCCAGTGGAAACGGTTCGCGCATTAAAAATGCATAACAAAGGCAATTAATTTAAGCAAAAACAGCTACAAACTGTCAATTACCGCTCACGATTGTTCCGATACGATGGGGCGAACGAGGCGGACAGGCATTTGAATTGGGATTCGAAGAAACATCTTTCGGCGCACTCACGACGCGTGACCAGCGTCGAAATGGTCTTTTTACCATGAAACACCAGACTGTTGCCCGGAATTTTAGTCAGCGCCCAGAGGCGACCTTTGCACGTATCGGGCACTGCAAACCAAAAATGAGAACAATAACCAAAATTTAACCAAGGTCAGGAACGCCCCCGCCAAACGCAAATACGAACCGCGCAAACAGCTCTTCTCGTAGAACATGGCCTCGGCATCGGCCACCAGGGGCAGCTCGTCCGTAATGGGCAAGTAGCGCGAGTTGCGCTCAAAATATGAGTAGCCGTAGCACTCATTGGTGTCCAGCAGATGCACATAGGCAATGCAGTCCGGATCCTCATTGCAACTGCGCCAGCAGAGCTGGCTGGCCGGCTGCTCGTCCGGCACGCGCACGGCGTAGTCCAGGCCGTAGTCGTCGCTGCGTCGATCCCGATCTTTGAAATTGCTGGCGATCGGTGGCGCGTAAATCAAATTCCGTTCGCTAAGGTAATCGATGGGCGGTCGAAATCCGACAATTTTCTGCAACTGCAGCTGATGCAGCGGACACTTGAGCAGCAGCGCATCTGGAGAAATGAGAAAACAGTTTAGTAGCAGCTTGAGTCTCAGAGGCTGCGCTTCACTGAGAAGCGCACATTCCACAAATTGTTGAGCACTCCAAGTTCGAATGAATCGACATAAGATTGTGCATATCAATAACGCGGCCAGCGAGAACGTGACACAAATTGTGCAGGTTTATACCTGGTGCTCGTTGTATTGATCATCGATGCGAATAATTTGAGATATCTATGCATAACCTAGTCATTAGGCATCCATTTAAATAAAAATATATATAATATATACATATATAGTACGTATATAGTCTGCGAAAAGATACTCTAGTAACTGAATAACAGCTCTCTTGCATGATTTTTATCAATGTTAAGCGACTGGCACTTTTTCCCTTAACTCATTTTCTTAGGTATTGCAGGGATTTTCTCAATTTTATTTTTAATCAATTATTTTTAATTTATTAGCTTGCCTAGCTAATATCTTATGTAATCAGTCGAACAATAGTTAATACCAGTCGCGCAAACAACAAACATTCCATTGCAAAATCGGATTCGCTCTCAGTCACAACTTGAAAGTCGCACTTATCTACTCTCTCACTTGCTCTCGTTAGCTTTTCTCTCTTTCTAGCACTTGGCTGTAAATTGATCTTTGCTATTTTGTTTTTTTTTTTCTCCCTCAAATACAATCAGCTTTTCAGTTTACTATGTAATGCAAATTTCAAGTGTAATAATGATTTAATTGACGCATCACGTCAGCTAAGTTAACTAAAATATTTTCGAATAATATATGGCTTGACTTGGAAATACCCTGTACCCAAGGTGTAGAGTAACCTGCAAGCGTGTCAACTAATTGCCTTCGTCTATCTTATTGTAGGTGTAATTCACCCTTGGGGTCAATTTTGCAGGGTATTGCTGCTATTCCAAATTTTCTTACTTTTTTGGGGGACCAAGAAACTATTGTCAGAGTAGCATAAATAGAATACATTTTTTATTTGCAACATATTCCTGATTATTGTTTTAATAGCAAATTTTACAAATAAATGTGCCTGACCTGAAGATACTTTGTACTATGTTAAATGTTTTTAAATATGTATAAAAATGGGGGTAAAATTTGTCATGACATACGAAATGATGTCAAGATCTTATCATCTTTTGCTACACATTTATTTTAGTCCATTATTTATATTTCTATGTGTACAGGGTATCATTTGCATATTATGTAGAAGCACATATGCAAATGCATATGCATATTTCCGGCTATTGGCTTAGGAAACATCGCCAATTTGCTGTGTCCGCACTTTTGGGCCAAAATGTAGAGCTTACCACTTGTGTTTTGTTGCAGCATGAACAATATTATTGTGAATAATAATTTGCATTGCCAATGCGTTTTCCAATCTGATTTAGGCATTTTTTGTTTTGTTTGGTCTGTTGCTGTTGTTATTGCATTGCAAAATGTTATTGATAGGCATAAACTTTAAATAAAACCGAAATTAATGTGGGCATAAAACAGAAAAACATTCAGTGCCAGATTTTGCTTGTTGGCCCGACAATATTTTGCTGGTTATGTTTGAAACAATTTTACACTTTCAATTTTGTTGTTAGCATGCACACGCACGCGTCCGGAGGGCAAATTGCATTTCGTTCAGGACTGAAAAATGCAGCTATTTACATTGGCAAATATATATATATATATAGCCTGGAGTCGGGCACTTTGTCCTGAATATATCAATTAGCCAAATTAAGACCGGATTGCACAAGCGAAGCTTCAATTATATGTATATTTTTTTTTTTGTTTTCATATTTTTTTGATGATTATTCATGAAAAAACTTTGTTTGTCGCACATTTATTTTCGTACTTCCATTAAACAAATGCACTTTGCACGCGTTTTTAAACGCACGTCAGACGAGCGCGACTTTCGACATGCAAATAGCAAAGGCTGCGGCTGCGGCTGACTCTGAGGCTGCGACTGAGGCCGAGTTGAGCACTTCTCCCAGCCAGGTAGATACTCACTCACACACATGGAAGCTACCTTTGCTGCATGTGCATGTATGCGTATATGATAGCCAGCCAGGTAGATACTCACTCACACACATGGAAGCTACCTTTGCTGCATGTGCATGTATGCGTATATGATATGAATGCTTCGATCGAGCGTCGACGTCGCGGCTAACCGAGCGTATGAGAAATTTCATGTCAACGTCGACTGCTGATTAGATCGTTGCTCGGCTGTGTCCACAGCGAGTCGCAACCGAATTGCTTGCTGGCTCGCTTACAATGTGCAATAAACAAAAGTATTTAACGCACACGCCGAGCGCTGAGGGCGTTGCCGGGCTGGGCTGAGGCCGTGCGTAGCTCGTGGTTCAGGTAGTGTGCCCCTGTGTATCTATGCCTATCTATCTATCTATCTGTCTCGTGAGCGCATCTAGCCATGCATGTAGCTTACTTTCCGTGTATCTTTTGACTGTTTGCGCAGTTGTGTGCCAGCATCGTTGACATTGTTGTGTTGTTGTAATTGTTTTGTTGTATTGATATCTTGTTGTTGTATTCAATGGCACTTTTAACAGTTCAGTGGCTTTGCCGTTGACAACAATTGTTTGCCTACATTCTTGTTGCTGTTATTGTGTTGCCCAATGATATATGCTCGCTTTACATTTGTAGCTTCGATGTTGATTTGTGTTGCAACTGTTACAACAATATATAATAATGCATGCATGTATGTGCTTGTCACCGGTAAATGAATTTTTGTTATTCTGCTATACACTGCGTATGCGCAATTACGTACACAATTATTCACCAGTTTCCAATTAACCAAAACAAAAAGAAGAGGCGCCCTTTGGATAATTACTTACCTGTTGGGGCCATGCCAGAGTCTTGTGCGTGACCTTTTGCGGTTAGCACTTGAATTTTACTTATTGGCAAGTTGGTCAAGGTCGCCATCAGCTGCGTAGAAGCCCAGATGTCTTGCTTGAGCGACGAAGTACCCATGCAACGTAGGTATATGTAAATGCCACTATGCCCCTATGCCACATGCTCGCTTCACTTAGGCACAAAAACATGCAATTGCTCAATTTGGCATGAATATACCAAACATACCATATATATTTATGTAAGCTCATAAAATATTTGCAGGTTGAGCAAATTGATTGAAGTGGACACTTCAAAGGAATTAACATAGTTACAATTTGATGAATATATTTTGATATAAAACAATTTAATATAAAATACATGAGTGCTTTAGGCGGAAGTGTCCGACTAGCAGATACTCTGAATCCACCACCTGAATTGATGTTACATATATTCCATATTTATTGATTATTCTACGGGCTACTTTTGCATAGTTAATAAAGCGAAATGTATTTTATTTTACTTTCTTGTATGTATATTTTTTTCCATAAAAAATATTAAACAATGCTTAAATAATCTACTACCTGCAACCTCTGCCCGATGTTCTTTGAACCAATTAGCAACAGTTTTAAAGTCAAAATCATTTAAAGTTATAAAAGTTTTTCAAAGCTGTAAATAAAGCGAACAAAGTGTTCAATGGCGATTGAGCGTATCCCTGCAAAAACTCTCGTGAGACGCTGTAAAATGTTGCATACTTTTTATTTTGCTGCCAAGCCAAGTAGACAAAGTTATGCAGGTAATAATGAAACAAACAACTATAGCGAAACTTAATTTAATTTTTGTTGACCTCATTTAATGACCAATTGCAAATGTTTACCTTGACTCCTGAGTTGCCTGTGCCTTTGCTTTTGCTTTCGCTCGGCTTGATTGTCGCGCTGCGTATGCGTAATAATTCATAAGCCGCGCACTGTGCATGCGAGGGCACTATAAATTATTATCGCATGCAAGCAGAAACAAAAATGTATATACATCTGCACGTGCAGATCGTCATATCTGCTCAGAATCGCTGGCCCAAATGACGCTATGGTAAAAGGGTCAAGCCAACCAAATCAACTAGCATGAAAGCGAACTAGAATGCGGCACTAGCAGCAACATCAACGGCCACCGCAATGTGCCACAGCGAATTAAAAACAAAAGGCTGCAGCCAGTTGCAAGTTTATTTGTAGCATCGCCCGCTCCACATAGTTTCGCATTTCACCTTGAACTATAAAAGAGTTGCGTGTGTGTCGCGGCGAGTGCCGCGTTTGTGTGTGTTTATTTCAGCCAGCTACAAAAAACAGCAGCGTCGCCAAGTGACGCCTGACTGACGCATGGAAAAAGTTGCAAAACACATAAGAAAAAAATAAACAAATATACAGATGTGGTGTGAATGTGTACACATGCATACATAGACAGTGAAAGCTCCCATAACGGACAGCTCCCGCAATCGGATAACGTAAAAGGACACACCATTTTTATACCCTGAACCCATTAAAAATGGGTACAAGGGTATATTATATTTGTGCAAAATCCAAATGTATGTAACAGGCAGAAGGAAGCATCTCCGACCCCATAAAGTATATATATTCTTGATCAGCATCAATAGCCGAGTCGATCTGGCCATGTCCGTCCGTCCCTATGTATGAACGCAAGGATCTCAGAACCTATAAGAGCTAGAGATATCGATATCCTGTTTTTTGGGCAATTTTGGTAAATAATAAGAGCTAGAGTCGCCAAACTTGACATATAGCTTCTAAAATAGAATATATATATACATTTGATGTTGGAAGAAGAGGGTTCAGGGTATCCCCTAGTCGGGAGCTCCCGACTAGAACCTCTTACTTGTTTTTTTATAGATTTTACCATATAAAAAGCATTTCCATTACTCTGACGCTCTGATGCGTTCCAGCGCTAGTTAGTCAACAAAAGTATTGAGACTTACAAGCAAGGATTGTATTTAATCTGTAGCTAGCATTTTTAGCAATTCCTATTTTTAGTTTTGTGGTAGCCAAAGAATTTGGTGATTTGGTGGTACATCTCTCATAAAAGGTCCTCAGCTGCAGTAGGACAAAATATAGGTGTCCAGTTATGAAAGCTTTCACTGTACACAAATATGAATATTTATTTATTTACTTACCAATAAGCTCACATACACACAAGCACGATTATTTAATTGCCAAGTATCAGTAAGGGAGTGAGAAGTTAGAGAATAAACAGCGATTAATTAATTAATCACTCTAAATAACTAAATTGGTTGACATAGCACTTATATTATTAAATAAAGGATTGATTTGAATATAACCTGAAAACCTGTGCGGCTTACTTGAATTCATGAGAATTGCATAGAAGGGAAACTATTAAAATATGATTTTCGCTAATTTAAATATATAAATTTTAAAAATCATTGAAACACTGGCTTATTATTACACATATATATATATACACATATGCAATATGCGAGCATACATATAAAATTAACCTAGGTCGCACACAAAGATAAAAGTTTGCCTAATTAAAAATTCCAAGAAGTCAGACAAAGAGCGCCACTCTTTAGTGGGGTCAGATAGCAGCAACAATGAGACCAATGTCAGCCACTGCGGCGAACTAAGCCACACACACACACACACACACACACACACGGACACATGCGCCTGGCACATGCCTATGTGACATGTCAGACAGGCCAACAGTCAGTTAGTCAGGCAGGCGGGCGAGCAGGCAGGAAGGAAGGGTTTGCGGGCAGCCAGGCCATAAAGCACCGTCTAAAGTTGCGCTTGAATGCTTCAACGAGGGCGAAACACAACAACAACAGCTTCTCAGCCAGGCGTTGCATGCAACTTGTCGCATTGTTTGAATCACTGAATTATGCAAATAGTTACGCACATACAAGAGAGTCAGATCGGGCTTGTCTGTGTGTCTGTGTGTGTGTGTGTGTTTTTTGCTCAAATACCTAGCCTCTACCAACCACAACAAAAACAATTTGCCAAAAGTCTTTGCTATTTAACACCACAGCACAAAAATAATCAGACAACATTCAGTTTGAGTGACTAATTGACTAACTAAAAGTTGCCCATGTCCAAGTTTAGTATGTGTGTGTGTGTGTATGTGTGTGTGTATGTTTGTGTGTGTGCTTGACAGTTGCTTAATACTCACCAGTCGCTTGTTGCTGGCAACTTCCGGTTTGTATAGCACGCCAAAGTTGCCGTCAGTTGCACCCGTGACAATACTAACACTGGTAGCAGCAGCAACAACAGCAACAACAGCAACAACAACATCAGCAACAGCAGTAGCAAAGGCAACGCCCACTTGCCCACTTTGACCCCCCGGCCAAGCAGCAACTGGCGTGTGAACTTTCAATGAAACGAGGCGACTTTAACACTCGCCCTCCACCCCCGCTGTCGCCCTGTGCTAACTAAAATTTATTTAAATCTGTGCCATAATTGTTTTGTACGCCTGTTGCTGCTGGCGTTGTTGTTATTGCTGTTGTTAGCCGCTTTTTTTTGCCGCTTGTGCGCGCATAAAATTAGCGCTGCGAATTTATTGTCAGTTCTGCACATTCTTGTCGCTCTGACGGTAAGCGCGGAGTCCGTTTAAATGTCACAAGTTCAGAAGTTGCTAAAATTTGTTTATCGTGCGACGCAAGCAGCTAGTCGATGCTATTTATTTAATCACAACTAAGATAAACTGAGTTGAAAATCAATTTGAATGTCTTCTTACCTCACAGTAAGTGAATCTTGTTAGCCATGCTACATATGTCGCTATATATCCATTTCAATGTTCAAATAATCTACTTTAGCTGGGACGAGCAGCTGGCAGATTACGTATACGCAGCGTGGCACGCGGCACGTTTCAGACTTTGAGCTTATATTATGAAATAAATCAAACAATAATTATAACTAAGAAGAGTGCTTTAGTCGGGAGAGCTTACTAGGAAATACCCAGCGCCTTATATGCTTCTATATACACCCAAACCCGCAAGCCGATTGCTGTGCACTTCATGCTGCGGCTGTGCTTATCTTTCCAATCC